TAATATATAATCGTTCTTCTTCATCTTCCATCTCTGCTCTAGTTGCTTGACCAACATACACTTATAGGCTAAACTCAGTTTTCTACACAGGACAAAGTTGTTGTGTTTGTTTGTTTTACTGCGCTGCACAGTTTTACATCTATTGCAAACTGAGATGTCCACAGTGAATATAATCCAGGTCTGATAAAAAGTGGTCAGGAGCTGAAGCGAGTATTGTTTTCAGCTGTTTTGTAGTCATTCCTTGCGAGTATATTTAATACCTGCAGCTTCACACTGAAGCAGGATGAGTCTCCAAACACAACAGCAAAGGTGATTTTAATATTCTCTTTTTTACAAATAAATTATCCCCAGCATGGGGACAGGATAAATGAGAATCTAATAGAAAATTACAATTTTTCTTTTTTTGTAACATCTTAGACAGATAAGCTGTGTCTCACTGTTACAGTTAAATTATTCACATTTTTGATTTAGCATTTTATTTCTTTTTAGAAATTTGATCCATTTACCAAATCCAGAATGTTACCTACCTTTAATTTTTTATTCCTGTTACAGTTTGACAGCAGGTTACAAGAGCCATGCCATTATTGTGATCAGCCACATTAAAAACACTTGCCTAATATTGTGTACATGATTCAATGATTGATTTTTGCAAAAAAAAAAAACAGGAAGTGAGAAAACAGAAGTGAATCTGCCTGTCACTGCTCATAATGTGCACAGGCATGTGCACCTGTAACACGCCTAAACACGCGTGGTGAAATGTGAAAAATTCTGCACCTCTCCGCACGTTGCGTCGCCACAGACCCCGCCATTCATCACACCCACAAAGGCTACATATTTTGGCTCTCAGATGTTTCACACAGCGGGATATCTAATCATGACAAATCGCGACTCAGCACAATGAGTTGCTGGTTTGTGTTCTCATTTGTTCTTGGGCTGTGGCTGCTGCAGTGGCAGTGAAGAGTGGGAAAACTAAGACTGGGCACATCAGATGCTTAAGCCTGTTCTTTTTATTTGTGTTCATGGTAACGAGGCAACTATCTGCTTTTGTGTTTGTATTCATGCATACTTTATGGGCGTCAGTCTGCGATCATACGGCACACCATTTCTATTTATAGGATCTGCTTGCAGTTTAGCTTGTCATGATTGATTTGGTTTCTGGTTTCTTTCTGTTAGAGCTGCCAGCTTTTTATAAACCCCCCTCCTCGATGCAGTACCTCCTCCATAAAATGTCCTTTTATTACCGCCTTTTGTTAAGCAGTTTAATGTTTTTACTAATTTGCTAATATGCAAACTTCCTGTTGCCAGAACTATTTTTAAGTTCTCTTAACAAAGCTGTTTGATAACTCGTATGATAAACGAGCTGCGCCAACACTGTCGATTCATAAAACGTGAATGACCGTGTGGGCAGTTGGGAAATGTGAGGGGGAAAAAAGCAAAACGATGAGTCATTCATGAAGGCAGGATCCAGGTAACTGTTAGGTTGTGTCTATCAGATGAGATTAAACCGTCTGCAGTCATTTCACAGAGTACTTCTGAAAAAGCACATGTTCTCACCATATGGTGTGTGTTTGCACTCAT